GCAGAAATGGAAAGGCAGAAGTAAATTCTGCACGGTCTGCTCCAACCGACAGAAGGACCAGAGACGAGAGAGTGGGTATCGCAGCACGCGGAAGCCTGGGTTACATATTGGAGACTGTTTTGCAAAAAGAATATAAAACGTAATACTACAAACGTGCAGTACTCGGGAAATTTACAAGTAAATTTATTGGGTATTGGGAAAGGGTTAAGTTTGTGTTTTGAAAAGTATGGTGTGATCTGATTAATCGACCGAAGATTTCTTTACAACAAATTCTACCTCCAGTAACGATATGTTTTACGGCTGATGCCGTTTGTCCGATGTGGTCCGGTAACACGTTTATCGCGCTAATCCACCGAACCGAGGCCTCGTCGAAGCCTCATTTTTCGACAGACTTTAGCTCGAACAGCTTGATTCGTAAGACCAACGATTACCGAGGGTTGTGGTTCAATTGAATTAAACGGAGAACAACGTTGAACAAACGGTGATTTTCGAGCGGGAAACAGTTCTCGCTAAAGGACCGCGAGAATCACTCGAGGAATTCCGGTTGAACGGTGTCGTTAAGCGAGATTCTCTTCCCCCTGACGAGGTATAGAAAAACCAACGCTCTACAGGATTACTCTTACAAATGTAACGACGTTCTTGGAAGTTTGCACATTTCGGCGGTGAGTTCTGATGCCATAGCCGGGACATTCTCAGCGACGACGACCTGCACCCATTCTTGTGATCTTACGTAACCTCGCCGAGATTTATGGCAACTGTAACTTGGCGAAACTACGTGCCGCATCTGCGCCACGAGTATCTCTTGATTTTCTCGCGATTCAGACCAGATACTTCTTTTTTTTTACTATCCGGAAGAATATGATCAGACTTACCGTTAGAGAGACGTCCTTGTCTTGTAGGACGTCCTAGTTAAAGCATCAAGTACGTCTAGTGTGAGAGTCAGTTTGTCGTCGAGGTAACTCCGGAGATTGTTTAAAGTGCTAAAGTTGGTTCCTTAGATTTTGAAACGTAAACTAAACTTCCTTTGGGATGGATGCGTGGGGTAGGGAAATTTAGGAAAAGCCATCTTGGCGTCGGTCGGATCGGGCGACTTGTTTGGAGGGGATGGATGCGTGGGGTAGGGAAATTTAGGAAAAGCCATCTTGGCGTCGGTCGGATCGGGCGAATTTTTAAGGAGACGTGTATCAGCCCATTCGCGTACCACAGGTCGGGGGGAGCGCGACCGTGCCTAACAATAAGTGAGTATGAAAGACAAGAGCAAAGTTGTAACTTCGAAATAAAACCGTGTGGCTAACTATACAGTAGGTATACACCTAGCACCGAGGAACAGGGAACTAGAATAGACCTGTGCGAGGGATAATCGAAGGAAAGATAGAAACGGGTAACTTGTCAGGCGTTGGCAATCCGATAACAGAGGCGGTAGGCAGGAGGTGAACGCGCTGACAGACGTATCGCATCTGTTTCAGGAAAGTGTTCCGTGTCATGGTCGAGCCACCTGCTGGTAGGCTCGGTGGCGCTGTTAATGCTGTGCTTTGGTCTGAGCTTCTGCGCTGCACGACACAAGCCGTCCAACCCACACACCGATCCCCTGCGCATTTGACAATCGAGATACTCTCAATCGATTCATGCCTACGCCTCGCCGAAGACGACCACCCTCTCCTTCGTCACGGTCTGTTGATTCGCCAGCTGGACCACACCGCATCTAGAGGATCCCGCCGAACCAGCCATCACGTGGGTATCCACACGCTTCTGGACCACTCTATCTGTCCACCATCCCCCCCACACTCTCTAATTACGAACGAAAATTGATGTGTATAGCGTAGCGTTAGCTCGTCCGATCGTTTCTGCGTTCCGCTGCAATTTCACAACCTTCCTTCCTCCCCTTATCATCCCTGCAATGAAACACCACGGAACGCAGCAACTTTCTTACGGTACGTTTTAAGCAAGAAAGAAAAAGGGGAATCGCGCGTGTTCCTGGGAACATATTCGCGATCTCGAATGCGCTTACTCGGGATCGTGTTCGGAATAAAACCGGGCGAAGTTGTCGCGGTCGAATCGAACCGGCGGATTCAATCTCCTAATAAACGCGCAAGCAGGGAAGCGCGCGAGATCGTTCCGTGTTACGGTCCTCCGTCTCGCGGCCAAATGAAATTACGCGCTCATCTCGCGATTAATTTCCATCCGAAGGAATCTAGCCGGAGCTGTTCGGATTCCGGTGTGTAACGTCGAGAAGGAGGAGGAGAAACGTTGCACACACGCGCCTACTTCTTTTTCGGTCGCTCGATTCAGAGAACTCGAGCAAGCATGCAGACTACGCTTCTCGTCAAAGATGCACGACCCACTTTTTTCCACTTTCGTCCCGAAAGAGCGGCAAGGAGAGGGGAACACTCGGGGAAACGGGGCGGCGTGTTGCAGATGCTTTCGACAGGTGAACGCGCGCGGACTCTGGCCAGCCGTTTGTTATCGCGCAAGTTTATCTCTCTGCACGCGGCCAGTTCGCGATCGATTCTGCCTAGTTGCGACGTTCGCCACTCGAAACTTGGCTCAAGACGTTAAATACTCCTTTTTCCACCCTGCATTCGACTGCTCGTTGAATTCAGTCGGGGAGAGTTTAGCTGGGACGGTAACAGCGCACCGCTCTTTGTTTACGCCTCGCTATTAAAAACGGCGAGTTTTCGCCGAGTTTTCGCCGCCCTCACCTTTGCCCCTGTTTCTCAAAGTTTATCCTGGGTTTATTTCGGAGGAAGGATTACCAAAGGAAAAGAGTGCCGGAGGGGAAAAAATGTCGAAAGGCAAATTATATTTTACCGGCTACTGCAACCTCTGTGACACATTCACGAGAAAACTCAGCTCATTAGCACTCTCGCGACAAAAGACTCCATTCATCCGGCACTTGTCGCCGGTGATTTCCAATTAGAAGAACGAACGCAGTCGGATCGCAATTAAAATTACTCGCGATTTCGAAGAAAAAGGAGGAAAGTCCGGGGGGAGAGAGGTGCCGCGGGTTGATTTTCGGTATCGATTTAGGTATCGTCCAGTCGGTTGCTCGCGTGTTTCGGCCGATTTCGATGCGGCTACGCAACACTTTGGAGAGGAAAGGCGACGCGAGTGAATGGGAGATCGCGTGTCATACGATTTCCCAACCGCGGCAAAAACAACGCCGTCCTTTGAATGTGTCATAAAATCGCTAAAAGCCGTGGCCCCTATTTCTGCCCGCCTTTTTTCACCACTCTTCCTCTCCTTCCTCCCATCCTCGGCTGCGTCCCTTTTCGCGTGCCTCGTTCGCTTTTGCAGCCGCGAGAATTTTCGACCACGCCGCCTCGAGTGCAACGCCAGACGGAAAATGTAACTGTGAAGCCCGCGAGAAGCCACCTCAACCGTGCTTTTCCTCTCCGTTTTTCTGTGGCCTCGTTAACGAGGCACGTATGAACTAATTGCGTCGCGTGTTGTCCACCGGCAATTTTTCTTCCTTTTTGCGCCAGTTTGAAAACGAGAACGCGCGCAAGGGCATTCAAGAAACTCCGCTTCTTTCTTCCTTGATTCGCGTTTCCTTAGTTCTACAGACCGTGTAACAGACGCACGCGGTCTCTTATTAAAACAATATCGAGGAGATTGTTTTCGCAACGAAGAAGCGCGCAAAGTTGTTACGCATTTCGTTAGCAACGTAACGTTGGGCGAAGAACGCGAAACTCCGTGGACCGCTTAAACGAAGAACGGTAATTTAAATGGTAATCGAGCCAAGCCGTATCGCGGTGATTCCAAGTTAAATTTAAAACGTCAAAACTTGCGCCGGCGTCTCTCGCTCTCTGCTCGTATCGCCGGAGGAATCAATTGCGCGCGTTCTCCTCGCTCCGAGAAACCGTGACTCTGCCACCATCGGGAGATTTACCGTCGCGGTCGGGGATTTAAAGAACAAAGTAGTACTTTCTCGATCTTCTCTATCTTCTTCATCCAACGAGGAACATACGTTCCGGTGTGTCTTCCGCGTGTTACGCTGCTAGCTGTGAAAATTATTACGCTCGACTTCCCGTTTTTAACGTCCCTTTCCTCCGAGGTAGAGTTTCTCCGCAGAGGATCGGCGAGTGGTCGATCGACAACCTTGGCTCGAGCTGTCCGCTCGACTCTCGAAGCAAAGTTCCCTTGTAAATCCTCGTCCCCGTTTCGCACACTCCCTGCCATTTCTCTTGGTCCTTGAAGTAGAGGCAGTTTACGCTCCTGACTAATTGCTGAAACGCTACCCCACCTGACAGAGGACACGGTCGAAAGTATATCGCGAAGAGCTCTTCTTCGAACGTCAGCCTCCGGATTGTGGTAAACGCGGAACGGGGGAAGAAAAAAGAAGAGAGCTAGCGGCGGTGGGTCTGTTAAGAACAAACGCAACTTTCGTTCCAGTTCGATGCGGCCGCGCTTCCCATTGACTCTTCTTCCCCATCGCGCGTTGCACATCGGGCTATTCGGGGTGTGTGCATGTCGCGACGTCGCATCGGCGGGGAATACGCGCGGAGGGATGAAAGTAGCCGGAGCAACACAGCCATCCCGGGGCGAGTTATCGACGAAAGTTGGGTGAAACAAAAGTTGGAAAACTCGTTCGACCGGGAGTTTCCGCTGGTGGATCCACCTACCTACCGATTCCGTGATTGTTGTTCCCTGCACAGTCGCCGTCCCCGGTTCTCCTCTCGATTTCCACAATTCTCCGAGACCTGTTGCAAGAACCCATCGTCGTCTCCCCTTCCCGCACTCTCTACACTTCCACGTTGTTCCGGAGCAGATTCACCAATGGATATTCTGAATTCCTGGCGGATATCTCGCGACCTCGTTTTTCCGCGCGGCGTCACGCGTAACGCGACCTCTCCCAGGGATACACGTTGCGCTAACCAAATGCAATTTCCTGGCACAGAGTCGGGCCTCTTTCGTTATCCAACCTGCTTCGAGTACCGCCAATCGACGGCAACGAAAAGCGAGTGTTTAACAATCGAAAAGTAATTTCTTCGTCACCCTTTCTTATTTCTCTGGACTCGATGATCCTTTTTCTCGCACAGTTGTATTAGGTCATTCCGTAAGTTGGTACCGAAATCGAAAAATATTGTAACGAAAGTCGAAAGAAATTCTATTCTATTGATCCTTCCTCGACGATTCCTCTTCTAATTTACCAATCGTGCTCCCTATTCCCCACGCGAGAGTGCGATCGAGACCGCGAGCGAACGCGTCGTTCGCAGCTTAGTTACCAAGCGGTCTACAAGAAAGACCTTTTCAAAACTAGCGCGTCGTCTATTTTCCGGCCGGTACGCAGAGAACAATTTCTACGCTTCTCGAACGCCACCCCGTCAAACAGAGTTTCCAAGTTCATTGAAAATGCCTGGATCGATACGTCGCGTCGAGCGGTAAAATGGAACATTGACAAGGCCGGGGGAGGAGAACAGAAGGCACCGTGGAGGAGTTCTCTCGACGATCGCGCGGATAAGACACGACGGAGAAAGTGCTCTAACGATTCGCGGAATAATTAAACGGAATCCCCCGGGTCTGGATTGACTGGTGTTGGAGGGCAAGCTGGGTCGAAGATGAAACGATATCCAATTACACGATCGAAGGGTTGGCTGGAAGAACGGTGGGTTTGGTCGGGACGAGCGCGAAATCACGATTGGTTTTGCTCAAAGACGATCGTTTTCGTAAACTCTCGAGCGAGTGTTTGACGGGCCAGGTAAACGGTGAATCGATTTGTAACCTTCTCCTAGACCTTTTGTTCCGTATTTGCATGTAAATTGCCAGCCTTTCTCAGGGAGATAGGAGGAAAAAAGGGAGAGAGAGAACAGCGCGTCTGGATGCTTTTTAAGCTTAATTTCTGCCCTCGGGCGATAGCTCGTTAATCGCGACAAAGAGATTCGCGAGTAGCACGCGTTGGCAAGTGACGTTTGGTAAATAGAGAGAACCGTGTAAATAGCAGCGTCGCGACCGGAAAAATATATTCGATCGATTTCCAAATTTACCGCTATTTTTTCTCTTTTTTTTCTGTTTTTTGCTTCATTTCGTCGGCGGAAGTCGAAAACGTTCGCTAATTACGTGGTTGCGCTCCTTGGGCCGCTCGATCGCGGAGATTCGACCGCGACGGAATATCTGCCGTCAAAGTTGCAATCGTTTCGCCCTGTGTACGCCGTAACGCTTAAGCGTTGCTACGGAAATGGTCACTGTATTCCTGCGAGCGAGTTTATTCGCCAAGGCGAAACTCTCTCGTGTAGCTCTCTACTCACTGTACATACTTATACATATACATATAGTAAGTAAATATTCGACATGGCGTAAATGTTACGACGTATTATTATATTTTATAATAAAACTGGAATAAACGAACACGACTAATCGTACTTTCTTCTCCCCACACTTCCAATCCTGCTCCTTCTCCGTTCTATGATACTTGGGCGCGTGCGTAGGTTAAGGCGCATAACGGGCCACGAGCTTTATCGAGGCCGCGCGTTCAAGCCTCGTCGACCGGATTCGGAGCGTTAATTGCCGGGAAATGAATTAATTACCGGCGCTCGGTCGATTCGGTGGCGAGTTTAAGTCAACGGTTTTCGGGGCGCGACCGGTGTTCCCCGGTCAAGCGTTCGCGGAACGAATCGAAGGGAATCGAGGCGCGACTAATCCGCGACAATGCGGCCCGTTTGCATCGGAAACAAAAGGTATGCGATTCGAGCCAGGTGAAATTAATTGGCTGCCGCGTCGCGTCAGGCTACGCGAGTCCCCACGAAAACCCGGTACTTTTCCATTCGTTCGGACCATTGTCTTCGAAACTCGTCGAGGAGAGTTTCCATTCGACGAGTGACTCGTATCGATTCCGTCGAATCCCGATCATCGGTCGCGTGTAATTCCATTTTCAATGGACAGCGTAAACATCGCGGAACAAACGAACG